AGGTCCTAAGACTTTAAGTTCCTTGTAAGTAACTACAAGAGATTAAAATTTCTTGGTAACTGTTATCTTTTGATATAGCAGTCATTTTATTGTCATGCATGGGAAGTAATCTTATCTCAGAATGTAGATAATATCTTTCACGGGTGAGTTATAAAATAATTTTAAATGTACAGACAGGTGTTAAGAAATAAAAGAAATATTTATCATTCTAGTAATAACCTTGTATTAATCCAGTTAGTATGACAAATGAACGTCATCGTCATTAGAACGGGGGACTGTCAAATTTAATTGCTCTTAACTCTTTTTTTTTCTTCTCAGAAACCTACAAGCGAATCAGATCACAGATTTATCAAGCATTGCCACTTCTGGAATTGGACACGTTTATAACCTGTAGGCGTTTGTTCCCTATTGAACTGAATGTTTCGTTTTTTGTTTGTTTGGTTGTTTGGTTTTTTTTAAGTGGGTGGAGGGGGTACTTACAGAGAAACCGGTTTACCTTTTCTTTGGATGCCTATATTCAAGTGTGCACCAGCTCTACTAACGTTTGAAAATGCTGTTTTAATCTTGTAGATTGTTGTCTAACAATAGTATCGATCACCTTCCACCGAACATATTTCACAATACTCTCGTAATATGGAGCCTGTGAGTAACCAAAACAAAAAACAGAGTGGAGTGTTCGTTCTGTGGCTGTCTTTTGATAGTATTACATATAAAAGAAGTTACTCTTACTGTGTATCCATATTTTCCATATCGTGATTTCCTCTATTACAAAGGAAAGACGTGAAAATGCAACTGTCCCTTCAATTTTCGCTAAGATCTACTTTTTTAAAAAGACTTAGAAAATAAGGAGAATTTCCAGATAACTTTAACTGAGGATGAATCTACCTGTGGCACCTTTTTTGATCCGACCGTTGTTATGTCTCCCCTTGGGTTTTTCAAGAGATATTAAAGAGTTCATAATCGATTGCTTTTTTTTTTTCGCTTATGTTTTATTTTCGATAACTTTATTTTTCTCATTTCTCCATAGTGATTTGTCATTCAATAAATTGAAGTCATTACCAGATGGAATATTCAATGGGCTCGATCAATTAAAAATTCTGTAAGTAGATCGGGAAAACCTTGTAGCAAATGAACTTTACATTTAATAATACATGATCGGGTCGAGATCGCCTCCTTCTCTTAAAACGTTGTTTAACAACTGATGGTTATGTAACTCAGTGAGGACCGAATTTCATAACCTTCTGATCTTATG